CTTGTTGTGTGTAGATCCTTGCATTCCAATAATCACCAGCATTCTTCAATGTGGCAGTGCACTACCTTCCCAAAACACTTATTTGGGTCTTGTGCATACCTTAAAAACAAGGATGAAGGATATCCTTTCCTGCTAACATTTAGACTGGACACATGTAGTGAATTTAGTACTGATCCTACATAGATCCACTGGTATTGAGTCACTCTTTCAACTCCAAACAGTTCAATAAGCTAACCACAWCAGCTCCAGAAAGGCCTCTARTGAGATCCCCTTTGGGGATATGCTTGGTCATAGTGTTAAGAAGAGTGATATGTGGTGCCAGCATTGTTACACGATTAGAGCCCAGGGGGGTGCCGGTTCTCCATTAACAGCCAGTGTGGCCAAAATTGGCCAGTGGAGACTGACTACTGGTGCTGGTTAGAAAATATGCCAGATTTCTATCAAAAAACAACTCTAGACCACCAGACTATATGCCCACCARTTCAAGTTGATATAGTAATTACTCATAGATCCGTGGTGTCATTGGGAAGCCAAATGATGCTCTACTAGTGGCTTAGAACAAGTCAGCCAAAGTTACAGGTACTGAGGGGTCAAAAATTGTTAATTCTTGGTGTATTTTTTTCATTTAAAATTGTACAAGGTTGTGGTGATACATCATGTGACAGGCATTTTGCAGTACTATTTCTACACAGACCTACACAAAGAACAGTGCAATCTATAACACCCTCACCTTCAAYCTGTCAAAAAAACTATTTCAGTTGAACCATTTTCTATTTTGGAGTTTTTTTGGAGCTCACTTTTTGAGAATTCAGATTGGCAAAAAAATTGATATCTGGACACTGCTATTATCATGGAATAAAAATTGAAATTGAAATGGATTCCAAGAAGAGATTTCTCTTTCCTACTAGTAACATAAAATGTTTAATACTGGAGCACTCTCTAAGGCGCTTACTACTGGGATGCTAACTACTGGGCCTCTCCTCATAACCCCTTCACAGSCTCTAGAACTGAAACAGGAACTTTTTAACAGCTCTTTCCTCCTCAGTCATCCCTGCAAGGCAGATTAGAGCCTCATCTTGTTGTCTATCTCTCCCCCTTCCTAATGYAGTCTCCCTGATTGTGATATCTTCTTCCTTCAGCTTCTGCATTTGAACTTCATCAGAGTCCCTCCAGGAAGGCTCTGCAGGAGGGATATTCCTGACTTGCATCCACATACCAAATACACTGCCTTTCTTTACAGGGATCTTCTTCTGTTGTTTCCACTGGCACAACAGTTTGAGTGTTGAAATTGGAAGTGACTTGGCATCTTCCTCCTTCTTGTACACATCTTTTCCCTTTGATAGCAATTCCTCAATCACTCTGGTGGCCTTCGCATTCAACACACTACTACACTACTTGGGATTTCTTCTTTGCTACTTCTAGCTCCTTGACAAGCTGTTGTCACCACTTTCTTCTGCAATGATGTAGTCATCACTGTTTAGTGTATCACCTTTGGTCCTAATAAGATGCTCACTAGAGTATTTGATAGTAGTTCCAATTGCATTTTGCAGTTCTCTTGTCCCAGCTTTCCTCACTGGTGTTTTAGATGTTGACAGCCTTGGGACATATCTTTTGTAAATCTTTCCATTACATCCAGCATGACTGAGTACTTGGATTGCCACATCATTCACTCATTCCCATTCAACAAGYTTGGCCATCTGAGGATCAGCGATAATATCAATGCTACCATCTGGCAGCATAAGTWTTTTGTGAGCAACTTTCTAGTCATCAAGGCATTGTCTGGTAAACACCACAACCCCAATCCTGGCCCATACTGCCTTTGTCTTCTCAGCTGCACCAAAGGCTTTGTGAAATGGATCATGCTTGAGTAGTAAAGCAGGCTCATACCAATTTTTTCGTTTCTTAAAGACRAGCAGCAGAAAATCAGTCTGCCAGACTTTYCCCCATTTTTACAACGGTACAACATGACCTTTTCCAAATTTTGTCTGTAAATTCTTGATTTGAAAAGTCCATAGTAGTTTCTGTTGGTTGGTTGTTTCACACGCATTGTATTGGGCACACCAGGAAGAAGATAAAACCTTTTGCAMAGAGCTTCACCAGMAACTCTTCTTTGTATTTTCTTCCTGGACTGCTGTCCAAAATAAAAAGAACTTTCCACCCTGGAATATCAGCTGCATCTGGAAATGACAGCTTCATTACATTGTCTTTGATTTATTTCAAGAATTGTTCAGYGTTCATTCCAGMAGTTTTGTTGCAGTTGACAGTAATAACATTTTCAACTCATTCTTTGCGACCATAGACACCCTCTGTTTTTAGGACACCAACAATTAAAGCTGCATGGATCCACTTGTCTTCTTCTCYCTTTGCCATCAACTTCAGCTGGAAGTGCAGAACAAGAGGAAATATAGCTGCTCTTGTTTGTGCAATTAGCACCACAGGCAATATTCTTGCTGGCAGGCCCGGGTGCTCCACCTCCTGCAAGATAAGAGCAGCCATCTAAAGTCAATCCACTCTGTCAAGATTCACAATTTGATTCATCTGGTTTGGAAGGAAAACAAGTTCACCTTCACTGTCTTCACCATCCATTCTAGCACAAGCAAATCTAAGGTAAATGACCTTTTCACAAAGGGAATCAAACAAGAAGCTGTCAATCTTGTTATTGTACATTATCCATTGTGCCCGCCTTTCTTCCATCTTTGAATTACCCCTGACAATACTAATTTTTTTGCAAACAACTTTGTAGAATCATTTGAACAGAAAATAGTGGTCTTGCAGTACCATTGGTCCACTTTCAAGGCATGTAAGTAGCATTTGGAGTAGTTGTGGGTGTCTAGGTTGATCATTCATAGTATCTGAACAGCCAAGATTAACCACAGAAGYCATTGCTTTAATAAAAGTGGTCTCAATCTTTTCAGGCAGAACTGCCTTTTGCCCCTTTTTAGGAGGGGTATCTTCATACAATTTTGTACAGATCCAATGGCTGGTGTGTTGAAGGTGTTGTTGTTGTTCATCTTCTTGGTACCAAAATACAGCAAAAAACTCTTTTTAAATAACTATCCGGTCAATCAATCTGCAACTTCCAGATCCCCTTTCCCTTGATATAATGAATAGGTTTCATTGCTTGTTTGGTTTGGAACAAGCCAGAAATATGCTTGTTTTCCTTGTTGTAGTATAGCTTCTTGTTTTGTTGCAATTTTTTGTCGAGGATCTCGCTACTAGTACTACTACTTGTTGTAGTTACAGTGATGTTCCTCCAAAACCACTTGGTTATCAATCCGCAACTTCCAGATACCCTTCCCCTTGTTATTATGAAGAGATCCTTTATATGGATTRCATTGTTAGTAGAGGTTGAGATTTTGAACTGAAGGAGTGACAGGTCCCTATGCTGGACTGGAGGTTCCTCTTCTTGTGTTGTTCTTAGTAGTAATGAGATTTTTTCCAATTTTAGATGCAAAGAGAAATCAACAAGCCAGAAAAGGTTCTCCTCAGAATTCACATAGCAATGTGCACATGGTTGTGAAGAAAAAAGAAAACCCTTTCCAGCTCATTGAATTCTCAAATTCTGATTGGTGCTTTGGTAGCCTTAACAAGCAAGCAAAGCTGCTGACTCATAACCTGTTATAAATCGGACGCAATATATAACACCACAACCTCGTACGTACCAAGTACCAAATACGTTACGATCAGAACATTCATAACATGAGAACGAAAATTGAGTCGACAYCTTTCTTCGCTACGTATTCAAAACTGCTCGAATAGTACTGGTATAGTGCCATTTGAAAAAAGAGAATCGATATGATGTATTCAGACCCGCATACGAGTACTGTATTTCGCTTTGTTAAGCTTGTTTCGTAAGTCCTCCTTGTCTTCGAGATACGGTACGTTACTTCATCACTTCTTTCACAAACAGCACTGTAAGTGCTCTTGGGCTTATTTATTTGATTCGCTTTTTCAAGAGCTCATGCCTCAACGTTACTCCTGAGCGAAAAGAGATCACCTTTCTTCAGAGAACKTACGGTAYCTCGTACCTTACAGATGGAAAAAATATGCACGGTATGTACCTACCGTAGCAGCACCGAGCTGAATGAACGAGTTCTCATACAGTAAAGTAACAAATAAGTAACAGTACAAACACTTGTGGTACCCGCACTCGCATTGCGACCACATTTGCAGCCTCAGAGTTTCCACAACTTTCCCGAATTCAAATTCTTAATTCGTTATGGCAGAAGTGAACGCAAATAGCAACCCCACAAACATCGGGGGCGGTGCAATGGACGGCAGCAGTTTTGAGATAGAAAAACCCGCGAAAGCTGCTSACACTGAAAGTGTCGAAGAAGTTTCAAAATATCACTGGTTACATGCCCTTTATCACTCGGTCGTTGCTATGGTGGGTGGAGGAATTTTGGGATTCCCGTACGCGACCTCATTTTTCGGTTATGCTGGTGGTAAGTTTGTCGGATTAGCATTTCCTCAAACACTMTTTCAACGAAAACGAGATATTTAACAAACTTTCGTCTTCATGATATTTYCGCAGCGGCGATCTTTATCACCTTCTCCAGTGTGGCGACTTATTACTGCTCGTTTATATTAATTGACTTGCAAGAAATAGGGTGAGTCAGAGCCATGTATRCAAAATGACACTAACTACGAACCAAGGGGCCGTAATCTAACACAAACCGCTTTATGATTTTTAAAATATCAGTCAGGGAACGTACAGCGAAGTTGCCGATGCCGTAATGGGTGAAGGCTGGTCTCGATTCACGGTCCGACCAGCACAGTTTTTAGCTTTCTTCCCTACGGCTGCCGTTATGATGGTGATTGGGGGTACAGCCTTGCACGAGATCGATACTCTGGTTGACGGGAAAGAAACCCTTTCTATGAGACTCTGGCTGGTGATCGTAAGTTTCATAACAATCACGACGAAAACCAGAGTTTTGTTCTATGTTCTGTATCAGATGTRKGCATCATGCGTATGATCCCATTTCCGGTTCTACAATGGGTTCAACTAAACTATATTCTTTTGTTCAGGATGCTATCGCTGTTTTGCTCATGTCCATGTTGCCAGATCTGGATCGCGCCTGGTATGTTAGTGCGTTGGGTGCGCTCTCTATACTTGTRATCGTGCTGTATATTATTGTAGGAACAAGCATAGCAGTAGCACAGGGCGATTCCGAGACTGCCGACTTTGACCGACCACCAGAAAGCAGTGGCTCGAATGATCAATTATATAAAACAATGGCATCGTTTGGTGATTTTTTGTTTGGATTTGGTTTCAACGCGATCCTACCAGACATCCATGCCTCTTTGCACGAGAAAAGTGCTGAGAATTCAAGAAAGGATATGAAAAAGACTTTGACTGGAGCGTATTCCTTTGCRTATCCTGCATATRTGGTTGTCGCAATGGTTGGATATGCTGCATTTGGTTACAAAGTTCAAAGCAACATATTTTTGAGCATTGATGAGATCCTACCGAGGTCAGCCATGATCGTAATTTGGGCACTCCTCGCAATTAAAACTGCAACCGAAGCGGCTGTTTTCAATCAAGCCGCATTCACTTTGACGAGAGATGTATTAGGGTTGACACTGGACGAGGACCATGTCGATCACCATCCGAAGAACTGGAAGATTGATTATGTCATTCGCGTCATTTGGTGCATTCTAGCGGCAGTCGTGGCTATCTTTTTGCCATATGTAAGTGAAATATCATTTGTCGAACATTGCTTTTGTTCTTTGGCGAGTAACCACTCTCACTGCCATGCAACTTCTGATCGATTGTTTTACAAAATCTCAATCTTTTCTCTAAAAACTCATCCTCTGTCCAACACGTCATCTGCAACTATAGTTTAGCGATCTCACTTCAGTCACCGCGGCACTTAGCATTACTCCAACCTCCCTCATTTTTCCAATTATCATGTGGAATAGAAAGCACGGAGACACGGCGCCGAAATGGCGAATTTGGTTTCATCATAGCTTCAGCTTGACATTTATTGTAATTGGTGTAGTCGCTCTCGTCGGCGCGACTGGCGATATCGTACTAAATATTCAAAGTGGTAACTCTAGTTAACATTGCCAATCACCAAGGAAAGAATACCACTTTTTGATCCTTTCACTAGCGACTGTGATCATGGTTGCGAAAGTGTTAAGGAAAATACATCTGCGACAGCGCCATAACCTCAAGAACCAGTATCCAAGCTGTTTCTACCGAGTGACGTGGTTGTGAATCCAGGAAGCATTCGAATGAAGTGATTAGTCGATTAAAATATACCGTAGTTCTCAGTCTTCGTAGTATGTCTGACCCCCTCAATAATGAGAGTGTGCTGAGTGCCAACTAGAGGTATCTGAAGTGCTAGATCGTTCGGAGGAAATAACTAGGCATGATTATTGTGAGGGATCTAGTCGGTGGCTACGATTGGGAGGATTGTTCGGAACCTTAACAGCTATTCCGGAAGGCTTATTTTTGAATACTTCACGACCAAAACGAAGCAATCAATACTCTGCCTTAAATCAAAGCACCCACGCGACTGTGTCATTTCAAAAACAGAGGAATACGCCGAACGCTAGAGAGACTAGAATTGTTAAACAAGAACGTAGTTTATGAAGCTTTGGTTCTCGAACAACTGCTCCGTGTCAATTTCACAGAACACACCAGTCGTGACATATTCCTCGAAGGATCTGTCGTGCTCGGCTCTAATGGGTGACGTCCAAGAAACACCGTGTTCTAATCCGAGGACAAGCCTTCGTTCGGACTGGCTCGAAAACAACAAATGACTAGTTGCCATCGAGGACCGAAAAAGGACAGCGCGCGAATCGGGCGGTGTCGTTGAGACCGACGATCGGTGCTCCGAATTGCGTTTGCCCAAAAGCAGCATTTGTTGGAGCAAAAAGTTCCACGACACATCCTTCAATCGYTCCAGCGTTGCGCGGCCCATGCATCGCTTCAGGCCGCTCGTTTGGTTCGTCCTTTCTTGCTTTCGAAACCACCGGGCCACGATCGYGGAAGGGACTTGCAGCGCCGTCGGTGCGTTCCTAATTTTCCGCCCCTTGCGCTCCGCCATTTGTTTGATTCGGTGCATGTCTTGTTTGGAMAGGAAAGTATGCTGGGGCGAATCGTTCACTCGTTTCCGAAAGTTGCCGTCGTCCGTATTCTCGCTTAGATATATGCAGGTGTTCGATGCCGTCGGAAGCATTTGACAAACAAAATCTGCGAACAAATTGTTCCGCTTGACCGTCTTGGTCTTGGTGTAGTTGAGAACATTCACGYCATCGTCCCAATGCAGCTGCTGTTGGTGCATGTCAAAAACATCGACTCTGTCGTGCAATTCGGCTTTCGATGACCATTGAGAATACGACCAAATGGATCCATGAGAGGTTGGCAATGCCTCACGCTCGTTTCCTTTCGTAGGATTTGGGAAGCGCTGTGTGTATGATGTATGCGTTACGTTCGGATCTATGTATTGGGTAATATTGTGCAGGAACCATTCCACGTATTCGATTATTCCTGGGATATAGCCTTTGTAGGGATAGAGAACTTTGGTACCATTCTGGAAGGTTATACCATGTTCGTCTTGTTTCCGTGGATTCATTTGTGATGGACCAATCTGCGTCAAATACTTGTGGTATTCGGCCCAATAAGAAGGGAGCCACTGGAAGAAATGCCGATACGTTACAACGATCTTGACGTTGAAACCAAAAAAAGGTTCCTCGTTGATTGCATCTCCGCCCCCACTAGAGGAATYGTACGACGACAAGAACAGTTCTCGGAATAATCGCTTCCAGTACTTCGCACTGTTTGAGAATTCGGACGACAGGATTTCCGAAGAAACTACCACGTTGTGTTTGTTCCGTTGGTGGCTCCGCAAGACGTCCGTGAATTCTTTCAGGGGCCGACCYGACCAGAGGAAATCTTTTACACGAAACATCGTCACCGATGTGGTGTTGTTGTGGGTGTCAGCGGCTATTGAGGGGGACGAGTCGAGGGCAGAGGTTTTGTTTCTGCTTCCACCCACGCGCACGATGTCTGAGAGAACACATCCGATGAAGTAAACGTTGTCCTCGGATGCCAATCGTGTTGCGACTTCTCGGAATCCGTGCTGAATGGTGGTTGTTCCCGTCTTTGGTGGACCCACGTGCAAAACCATCCAGGGGCGATCGCCACCGGACGAATCGACGTCGTCGCTCCTTGTGTCGTGGCCGCGAATCCGAGACGGAGAAGTCTCGGCGTCCGCAATGGATGCGTCGTCGCCGTTCTCCCTCACAAAAAAAGTGCGGTCTTGGAAATTGCTGAYTTCGTTGTACAAGAAAGCAACGAGGCTAAAAACAAGGGATGTCACGAAGCTGAGCCAGATCCGGTTACGGGTTTTGTTGGTCGGGATCATCGTCGTTGCGTTCTGCTCRTGAAAGTGAACAAGCTATTCTCTCAGGGCAGACCATTGGTACTTGCAAGTGGTGACAAGACAACACCGGTCTTTTCGCCCTAGATAATCACAGTAACATATGGTATATCAATGCACAATTCGCAATGTGCTTGCTCTCGACTGATGGACAGGTGTAATCGATCTTCGAAGCAATGGTTAATGTTTATGATCACGAGTATGGGTACGATAAATCTCTTTTTTCCCTTTTTCCCCGTGAGGTACCGGTATCGCATTGAACAACACGATACGGTAATAGTAGTACGTGCATACGTACCTGTACGTACGTATGTACTGTAGGTTTTTCTTGTGAAAATGTGATGATTACAAGTGTTGTACCATATGTAGTACATATATCTTGTTGTCCTATTATCCTACACCCTGAGAGAGTTGTCTCGGAAGTCTTCGTACCGTACGTACCGTACCATACTGTACGCAGGGGTCATAAATTTATGACCCCTGACTGTACAGTACGTACCTTAAGGTACAAAATGTATTTGACACTGACATATGAGCTGGGGCAACGGACGCATAATCGTACGTCAATAGGCTACTCGTACGTACCGTACCGTACGGTACACCGAGCGACGGGATTGGATATGATGTCATACAGTACGGTACGTACGCTACGGTAACATGCGAGATATKTACGTACCGTACTAGACGAGACCTTTTCGCACGATACCTACGGTATCGGCGACGCTATGGTACGGCAAGTTTGGTCTTCAGTACAATATTTTTTTCGGTTCTCGAAGCGAAGATCCAAAAAGATTTTTTGGTACCGTACGGTACTNGACTGATGGACAGGTGTAATCGATCTTCGAAGCAATGGTTAATGTTTATGATCACGAGTATGGGTACGATAAATCTCTTTTTTCCCTTTTTCCCCCGTGAGGTACCGGTATCGCATTGAACAACACGATACGGTAATAGTAGTACGTGCATACGTACCGGTACGTACGTACGTACTGTAGGTTTTTCTTGTGAAAATGTGATGATTACATGTGTTGTACCATATGTACCATATGTAGTACATATATCTTGTTGTCCTATTATCCTACACCCTGAGAGAGTTGTCTCGGATGTCTTCGTACCGCACCGTACCATACTCTACGCAGGGGTCATAAATTTATGACCCCTGACTGTACTCGTACGTACCTGGAAGGTATCAAACAATATATCAACTAAAAATACAACCCTGTAGGACACAGTACATAATCTATGTAGATATACAAGGTGCACGAAGCATGCGCGGAGCACAAGAGTATCAGCGTGTTTGATGAGACGTACTCACACGATCACGCACAAGGCAAATTCTGTAGAAAAAAACCAAGTCGGGAGAGTAATTCTCGACAATCACGTCGATAACAACACTGATATCAGCACTCCTGTCAGCTATCAACATGGTCCTCTTGTTGAGGCTAGCAAAATACAGTTAACATATACACAGTACACTATATTTTTATGCTTTTTTTCGATATAAGGGGGGGACAAGTAGTAAGGAAAGAAGACACGCAACAAAGAACAAAGCGTCGACGTGTCGACGGTTGAGAAGCAGCGTCGACGCGTCGACGGTTAAGAAGCAGCAACGACAGCACCAGTAGCCGGCGGCGGTCCACGAAGCATGTGGTGTCCCCCACTAGCTTCATGGGGAGCCATGGCTCTAAGGATATAGGAGACCTTCTTGGTTGGACCACCATACACTGTATAGATTCGTCTAACAGCAGTTTCAGAAGAAGCGCCAGCACGAATCAGCCTCTCCATGCACCTCCAGAACTTCAGTCTCCTGCAATACTTGCTCTTCACTCTACCACGCTCAGCAGCAGTGAAATCCTTAGCAGGCTTATTAAGACCAACACCGACTTCCCATTCATTCCAAAGGACATAAAGATCATGAGGACACTTAGTCAGCTCGGCGTTTCCACTGGCTTCCGACGCGCCACTGTTCAATGCACGAGGGGCCCGGCCGGGCCTCCTTCTTACGATTGGTGTCATTGCAGCTCTTTGGGACAGCTCAATCGCTCGATTGAGCTTTTGGTTGAACTTAGCTTCACTTGCAATCTGTCGATTCTTGATTTCATTCACTTCATTGGCTGTAGCAAACAGCTTTGAGAACATTGCATGATTCCATTGCAACTGAGTCCGTCGAATCCCAACAGCAGTCCCTCCAGCAGCTCCAGGGGCTCCCCCTCCGAAATCCGGATCTGCAAGCTCATCAAAGTGAACTTGCCCACTGATCTCATTGGCAATCAGCTCAACACACTTGATAGGGTTCACATCACGATCCAACCTGTCAGCAACTGGAAGACTATAATTCAATTGAATCCAGGAACCAACGACGTCCCTCTTTACATCGTCGGAGACCAAGCCTTGCATGACGGGCTCACAACAGGCCCATAGCAATGCTTTGCCAAGGATTGCAGCCACTTCATTGCCAAATACATTAGCAATGTTAGGGGCTACAGAAGCAGCAAGCCACTCATCCGTGATTCCAGTACTTTCAGGCTTGTACAGACAGATTCCTCCAAAGCAAAGCTTGCTTGCAATGTCGATATCAGGCCAGGCAAGCTGAGTGTCAGTGTACCTATCTTGCTGGCGTCGAGACTTCCATCGAGCTCTATAATCAACATTATCCCTGCATCCGCCAGACTGCCTTGCAAAGGTTGTGGCAAACTTCCTAAAGGAATGAGTCCCCAGCTTGCCTTCCGAATCAGGTCTTTCACGAATAAAGGCTTCATTATCAAAGACATAACGCTTGATGAATCGAGCATAAGCAGCCTTTCCTTTGTTAATCTCTTTCTCAATATCCCTTGCTTGAGATCTCCTGTCTGTTACTCCTTCAGTGAACAGCCATTGGCCTGCTGCACCGTCACCATCTTTGCACCACTTTTCAAGGAATAAAGCAAGCCCAAGCACCACACAAGTCCTATGATCCATCGATCCAAGCAGTATTTGTCTTGGGCAATCGCGTTCCTCCCTTACATTYTTAGACCATCTTAACTTTGCTGTAAGGAACTGGGGAAATTCAGCTGATCTCTCCAAGCTGTCTTTGCCCACATGCGCCATATCATCATTCCGACCTATCAAGTGGAACTGGAACTTAAGCATTGCAAGGAACCTCAGGCGATTGGTAATGGAACCATGATTTGCCATCAGTTCTAGTGTTTGCAAAAACTCATCCTTTGTAAGAGGCCTATCCATGCTGCTTGCTTGTCCAAGTCCTCTGGTTTCCTTCTTGACAACAGCTGCAATTAGGTCATTAACTTGCTGGGACTTGGTAGGATTCCCACTTCCAACACCACCAACAACAGTCCATTTATGCATCTTGTTTGGCATGAAGTATGATATGGCCTTCTTGTAATAGATTAAAGAAGTGGATCTACCATGAGTAGGATTATCATCAACACCTGGATCCTCCCGACCAAAAGCTTTCTTTGCAAAGAACTTGTAAATATGATCCGGTGTTAGAATACTCAGCTGCTCTGGTGTGAATATAGTATCATTCGGAAACCGATTATCGCCACCGCCATTGTCTCCTCCTCCATCCACTCTTCCATGTACATGATCCATTAACTCAAGTAGAATCTTATGATATCTCCCCCATTGCCCTGGCTGGTTCACATCTCTTGGAGGCGTTACAGCTCCTCCCCTTCTTTTCCGAGCCCGGAGACGTCGACGATTACGATTTGGTGTTCTTGCCATAGTGCTTGTTATGCGAGGAGCAGGATTGGGGTTTTTCTTGAACCAGCACTCCTTGTATGCCGCAACTGCTGCTCGTATGATGCGACTGCTCGTAGTAGTAGTATGAGACTGCTCGTACTGTTTTTCGATACTAGTAGTAGTTATTTGCTTGTTCTTGGTGCTTGGGGTTTTGCTTGAACCGGTGCTGCAAATTTTGTGAGCAAAAAATGCACCTCTCGTGACGTGAGTTGACTCACTCCTCGACAGGGGCTGTGCTGCTGTTTTTCGCTCCTTGTTCTTGGTTGAACCGGTAGTGCTAGTAGTAGTACTCGTATGCGAGGACTCGTCTGCTGTTACAGTATTTGCTTGTCTTGCTTGGGGTTTTGCTTGAACCGGTACTCGTAGTATGATGCGATACTCGTATGCGAGTATTGTTATTTTGTGAGCAAAAAATGCACCTCTCGTGAGTCAGCGGGGGGAGGGAGTTGCAAAATTGTTGCATAGTCAGTGTAATTTGGTCTGTCTTAAGCAACCAAAAGAGGTACGGATGGGACCACAGCAGAAAAGCTAATACGATTGCTGTGTAGAATCCCTACCACAAATCATGTAGCACCTGTAAGTACGGTGGTAAATGGGGTGGGTCTGAGTGACGTGTTATAGCCTACGTAAAATCCTACGTATTTTAAGTACCAGGGGACTCGTCCGACCGTTTTGAGATATCGGTTGCAAAAATTTGGTACCTGGAAGGTACCAAACAGAATATCAACCAAAAATGCAACCGTGTAGGACTTAGTACATAATATACGTAGGTGCACCAAGCCAGTGCGTGGTGGGTACTGTATCAGGGTGATTGATGAGAAGTACTCGCACTGTCACGCACAAGGCAAATTCTATGGAAAAAATGCAAGTCGGGAGAGTAATTCTCGACAATCACCACAATAACGAAAACACCGACAACACTGATACCAACACTCCTGTCAGCTAATAAGATGGTCCTCTTGCTGAGGATAACACAGCACAGTTAACATAGTAGTATACAGCCACTTGTTCTATTAGGGGGGACAAGTAGTTAGCAAATAAGGCGTCCGTATCAGCAACGAGCCTCCGTATCAGCATCCTCCGTATCAGCATCCTCCGTATCAGCGGCTCGTATCAGCGGCTCGTATCAGCGGCTCGTATCAGCATCCTCTGTATCACGAGCCTCCGTATCAGCATCCTCCGTATCAGTGAGACTCCTCCGTATCAGTGAGCCTCTTCTTCCGTATCAGTGGCTCGTATCAGCGGACTCGTATCAGCAACCTCCGTATCAGCCGACTCGTATTAGCGGACTCGTATCAGCGGAGGACTCGTATCAGCCAACTAGTATCGTAACAGCGACTCGTATCAGCGGATACCGTATCAGCGGATACCGTATCAGCGGATACCGTATCACCAGCGGACTCGTATCGTATCAGCGACTCGTATCAGCGGGACACCGTATCAGCGGCCACCGTATCAGCGGC